GGACAGAGTGAACAGAAGTGGAGCAGGACTGGTACTTGGGTGTGGGCTCATGTAGGATCTCACTTTTAATGAACAGCATACGGCCAAGATGGTGCTCTTTCTCTGCATGGTCTTTCACCCTGGGTCTCCTCATATCAGGGTATGCTCAGGACTCCAAGAGGTCAAGGACAGACTTTGGAAGGCTTTGGAACTCATACAACATCACTTCTACCATATTCTGTAAGTGCCCAGGGAAGCCAGATTCAAGTATGAATAAAGAGACCCACTTCTTCATGGGAGAACAAAGTTATATTGCAGAATGGCACAGAAATTAAACTGGGAGGAATGCAAAACCATTAAACAACCTATCGGGTAAAAAAGTTCCCTTCTGTGGTAAAGAATATATACAAAAATCCTTCCGAAAATTCATAATTAATGGTAAAACTGTTTCATGCATATTCACATGTGAAAATTGCATGAATAGCTCCAAAATAAATGAAGCAAAAAGTGGCAAAACTGAATGGAGAAACAGAAAATCAAACAATAGAAGTCAGAATAACTGAAGAGAACAGAAGATCAAATGGGTACAGAAGACTGAATAGTATCATAAACAACTGAACTCAACTCACACATACAGAGTACACTACCCACCAACAGCATCATAAACATTCTTTAGTGCACATGGAACATTCTCCATGATACATCACCTATTAGGCCATAAAATAAGCCTCAGTAGATCTGGTATTGTAGAAAGCATGTCCTTTGACCACAATGAAATTAAATTAGGTAATAACAGAAATGAATTTGAAAAATTCACAAATATGAAGAAATCAACATACTAATGAAACAAGGGAGAAATCACATGGAAAATACTTTGGGATAAATGGAAATGAAAACAAAAACCAAACCCCCATGTTAGGGATGGTGGTACACACCTATGATCCCAGTTACTAGGGAGGCTGAGGCAGGAGGATTACAAATTCAAGGTGAGCCTGAGAACAAATTTACCAAGAACCTGTCTCAAAACAAAATGAAAAGGGCTAGGGATGTGGCTCAGGGCAGGATGCTTGTCTAATGTGCACATGGCCCTGGTTTAATCCCTGGTACCCAAAATAAACAAATCCTCAAACTTATGAAATCTAGTAAAAGCAGGGCACAGGGAGAAATTTATAACTGCAAACACCTTTTTTCCCCCCCATACTGGGGATTGAACTCAGAGGTGCTTTACCACTGAACTATATCCACAGCCTTTTTGTATTCTATTTTTGAGACAGAGTCTCACTAAATTGCTGAGGCTGGACTCTAACCTTTGATATTCCTGCCATAGCCTCCTGAGTTGTTAGGTGGGGAGGATTCTAAGCAGGCACCACCAGGTCTGGCTTTCTTTCTTTCTTTCTTTCTTTCTTTCTTTCTTTTTTTTTTAAAAGGACGATCTTAAATCAATTAGCCAAACTTTCAACTTAGAAACAAGAGGAGAAAGTTCAAATTAAACCAAAGCAAAACAAAATAATGATAATAATAATAATAACAATAATAATTTATAGTGGAAATAAATACAACAAAAAATAGAAAAACAGTAGAAAAATCAATAAAACTAAAAACTGTATTTTGAAAAAGATCAGCCTTGTGGCTGGGGCTATAGCTTAGTGGTCAAGTGCTTGCCTTGCATGAGTGATCCTCAGCACCACATAAAAATAATGAAAGATACTAAATAAATATTTAAAACAGAAAGAAAAAGATTAGCTAGACTGATCAAGAAAAAAGAGAGATGACTTAAATTAATTAATAAGGTGAGGAATAAGAATACAGTAATCACTACCAACCTTATAGAAATAAAGAAGATTATAAAGGAATATTAAGAACAATTGTATGCCCCCCAAACTGAAAAACCTACATGAAACGGACACATTTCTAGAAAGACACAATCTACTGAAGCTGACTCAAGAAAAATAAAATAAAATCTGAACAGACCTATAAAAAGCAAAGAGATTAGTAATTAAGGAACTATTCACAAAGTAAACTCAGACCCGACAGCTTCCCTGATAAATTCTACCAACTTTTAAAGAATTAAAACCAACCCTTCACAAACTCTTCCAAGACAATGGAAAAAGAGGAAACACTTCTTGATTAATTCATTTCTTTGTTTTGCAATACTGAGAATTGAACTTGGGGTGCTCTACTACTGAGCTATGTCTCCAGCCCTTTTAATTATTTATTTATTTGTGTGTGTGTGTGTGTGTGTGTGTGTGTGTGTGTGAGAGAGAGAGAGAGAGA